TCACATTATTGTTCAAAGATTGAAGCGCACGGCTTCGATTTCGAGTCAAAACATTTGGTTCTTTTGTTGTAGATATTTTTTTCCCTTTATATTTATATGCTATAATGTTCTTCTGTTCTTCTTCGGACGTGTCGGGTGATAATTCTTTAGTAATCATAATTGGCTTATCAATAAACTTGGAATACCGGTTATTTGATGAAAGGGAAATTATATATGAGATAGATTTGAGCAACGTAGGCTCTATTGATACATTAGTAACAGCATCCGATATTTGTAAAAAGCCCTTATTTCCTTTTACATTTCTTTTTAAAAAAAACGTTTGGTCAAATGTTGACAAAACTCCATAGCTATAAAAAAAAAAAAACAATTTAAATCTATTTAAGGTTAGATATAAAACTAGCAGATTTTGAAATTCTTACCGCAACTTATTGACACACATATAACCATAGATTTGATTTATCGCATCATAAGCCGAAGTGTGTTTGGAGCCTGTGATATTTCCTTCTTGAACATCTTTCTCATGCAGATAAAGATCAACTATATGTTTATTGGAAGGTACTCTTAAGACCCAACATGTTTTATATTCAATTGGCATCAATACTGTATAGCTTTTATTGACCACTATGAAGTCAGGTTCTCCAATTACATTTGGCAAACTACGGCCGTCCAGAAAACTTATAGATCTATTCAGGGGGGTTAGAACGTCATGAATATTGATCTCAGCAGCGGTCCATATGTCCTTTTCACATGTGATCGTGCGTGAGCTGAAGGTTGGTGTTTTATATATATTCACAGACTCTGGGTTCCATGATTGTACTTCAGAATTAAAATTATTCCACGATGAAATATTGTTAGGAAACCTTCTTTCTACGGATTTTATACTTGAATTGGATTTTTCCAGTCTTAATTGAAGGTATTTTAAGTTTGGCAATGGATTCGTAACAATATTAGACAATGAAATGCCTATATATATATATAAAAAAAAGCTCAAATATGAATAAAACATTATTAGGAAATATAAAAATAAAACTACCTGTAGAAATTTCGTATTTAGTTTTTTTTGGGTCATTTTCATTAATGGAATTTTCTTTTTCGTTGTACCTTTTTCGTTTCTGTAATGCAAAAAAAAAAAAAATAAGTATATCCAATTCCTTGTATGGAATCAACAGGTCTTTCAAGAAACTCATAGCAAAAAAATATGTGCACGTCGCAGAAACTCGATGCCTGGACGCTCTTCTTCCCTCAACCCAGCAGGTACACAGGGCGTAGCACACTACTATGCTCGTTAATATTTCACATTTAAAGAACATGTAAAATACTAACCTTTAGGTTTAAAAAATCCCTTTTTAAAGCTAAGGCTTTATCATGTATACCAGTCTTCGGCTCAAGCTTACTTAGTAAAACATCTAAATCGCACCGGAAAGAATCGTGTGATTCTTGTTTTGTCTTGCTTGGATATTTGTTAGCATAAAAATTCTCCCACGTAATTAATCCCCATTTTGTATATGGTCTTTCCCAATAAGAATGAACATGTTTAATGATTTCTGGTAACATTGTATTAAAAGAACATGTCTGGAGAAGAAAGTAAAGTTTATTAAAAAAAAAACCGTGTTTGGAAAAAAGTGTGTAATCCTGTGATCTTTTGAAAAATTCAAAAACTACAGAATAGTTTTTTTTGATGCTATTTTAAGAATATGATGATGTGAGATAAAAACGCGTAAAAAAAATTTACTATTCATTGTGATAGTTGAGTGGTAGATCATATCTAAAAGGTAGAAATTTCCTATTACACAGAGATTTTCATGTAAAAATCATAGTTACTAGAAAAGTGCGTAGCATTGTGTGTCTGGAGTAGAGATGCAGGATGCAGGCGGAACCCAATTTCCGTATCATAGACAGAAGTTTGTCTGATTGGCTAATTTTTTAGATCGATTTGCAGATCTACACGTGATTATTAACCAATCAAATCACACAATGTTTATTCGTTATTTTACTAAAAACGAAAACTTCAAGAAAAAGGTTTATACGAATCGGTAAAAACACTAATTACATATATATAAAAGATAGGTAGATATATGTAAAGAGGAGTAAAAGCGGTGTTTAACTACTAAAACAACCAGAACATACTAATCTAACTATCTATGAATCCAAACCCATATCTACGATCTATAAACCCAAACTTAAAACCGAACCAATTTAAGAGTGCCTTAAACCTGGAACTCTTATTGCTAACACCGCTAACAAGCTTATTCTGCTTCAAAAACCAAACTTGAAATTTCAATCTCTAAAAAAAAAAAACCAGCTATGTTGTTAGTAACTATTTTTTTTTGGTGCTTGTTAAAATTCACACGAAGCCTCTTTTTTCTTTACCTAGTTCAGAAAGTTGCGCCTAAGCTAACTTCTCTAAATAAAAGATTATAAAAGATTAATTTTAGAGTTAACTTTCTAGCACCCTTTTGAAGCTAGAAATGATGTTTGCGACGATTTTTTGCTTGTGTAATTTTACGTCCTTAAAAAGTACTTTAAAGTGTATAAATAAGTTACCTGGGCAACTGATTTACATCAGCCAATCAAACGAATTTCTGTCTATGAATTTCCGGCACTCGGATAATGTGT